CACATTCAAATTTGAAAATACATGTAAGGCTTTGATAATAAGGTTCACTGAATCAAAAAGATACGTTTTCAAGGGTTGTGTTGAAAAACCTGCATTGCAAAGACCCTTTAGCCTAATTGCAAAGAACACATTTTTGAAAACCCGAGATTTCTGACTTTACTACTTGAAGACTTCTGAGGAGCTTGGAGGTGGCAAACACAATGGTTCCTTTTCCTTCTTTATTTTTATGTTGTTTTTGTTGTTTCATTTGGAGCATGCATGCATTTAGCCCAAACGTGATGCAAACAAGAAAAAAGGACCAAAATAGCAGCTGTTTACAGTTTCCAAGTGTCTCAAAAGTCATCAATTACATGTATTACAGTGTTTTTGTATTTCAGGAAATAGCTGTCAAACAATCAGAGGGATTGGAAGTACTGCACTGCCCTGCAGCACTGCCCTGCCTTAATTGTTAAAGGAACCATCACTGAGAAGTACCAGCTGCAAGGGGTCTATTACACAGCCTTTCTTTGGGTAGTTCTAGCTGACTAGTTTCTGGTTGCCTAGGAATGCATCATTGCCATCTCATTATCAAGCTGGTGATTAATTTGTCTATTAGGCAAAAAAGGGCATAAAACATATTATACATTCATGAGTCATTCATTCAAGTATTATTTGACTGTGGATTTTAAATAAAAATTTGCAATAAGGATGAAATATGGACACTCTTTATTCTTACAATAAAAAATTGACTAAAAAGTTCTACCTTTAATACATGCACTTTTGGGGTGAAAATAAATTAAATCTGTAACTATACATTTGAAGATCTTCAAATTTTAGCAGAACTGGGAAAACCGACATGCATCAATTCTGACATCACAGTAAATAATACAGCATCTCCTATTCTTTAAAATGATTTGGTAAAAAGTTTTTACAGTCCAATGGTTACAATCAGCTAAAGGATGTGTCCATGGGTATTGTTACATGTGCATGTACACCATCTGATGGTCAAGAACATGATGCACCGTACAACTAGTGATAGATCTAACAGTACTAGTGTGAGGCACAAATGAAAACTCTGTCATGACCCTAGCTTTGCTGTGAATTTAAACTTATTGCTTTACATCAACATCCATCACCTTCAATAAATTTCAAAAAAAAAGGAAGTTGGAAATCTGCACACTTATGATAAGAAATGATGTCTACTCACTGAGGCTAAGTTGAAGTTGAAGCTTTGTTAGCAGTAGTTTGAGGATGATGCGCTAAACCTGTATGGGGAAAAAAAGGAACATGTGGTATGATTTGTCACTTTGGAAAATTGATTGGTCCTTGTCCTTGATGATAGATTTGTTTTTCAGTGTGACTACAACAAGCGGCAGTTTTGGTGTGGAATGACTGTCCCTGCATAGTCTTTATGGTTTAATCCTTAGTTGATCTTAGCTCTTATCTTCCTGAGGAAGTTAAAACAAGTGATCATCTTCAAGAAATTTGACCTGTGATGAAACTACTTTGACCAGGTTTGCGTTTTTCGCAGCACCACTCTGCAGACTTTGAACACGCAAAAAAAACTTTATCAAAATTGGGAATGCTAAATACAATTTCATGCTTAAGTACTACAAGCAGCAGCTGGTAAACCCCAGTTTCTTGGTTCGATTACGGATTACCAGTTAATGTTCTGTGAAGGGATTAAAAGGAAAATAAGCTGGAAAAGTGTTGAAATGTTAGTAACGAAAGGAAAGTGGAAATCTGGCCTGTCTCTATGTGGATGTGAATATCTTGAAATTCCACATTCCCAAATTGGTCGATGTTCTACAGATCTCAGCTGGAATTTTGCAACAAAAACATTGATAATAGGCTTGCTGTGGTCACGGCAGAACTGCTCCATTTAGAGTTACAGGACCCTCACGTCCCCTCTCAACTAACTGTGCAAAGCATTCTTTGCCCTAGCAAGCGAATAATCTCATTGAATGTACACTAAAACCTCGTTACTAAGAGCACTGTCAATACATAATTTTGTTTACAAGGAAATCTTCGGTTCCATCTTTTTTCATTGTTTTCACACCTGACAATACAAGTTTCCTGTTATAACAAGGTAATTTGCCAAGTCTTACAGACCTCTAATTGACAATTAAGTTGCTTTAAAGTGTCTCCCTAAAAAAGCTCTACTGTAGCCCCTTCGATGGAGTCAAGATACTGAAATAATTAACTCTGTAATCTGCGCCCCAAGGCTACAAACTGCAACATGAGCCAGGACGGACAATTCTTGGGATCTCTATAGTTTGAAATCGTATTCCCATCGGTATCGGTAGCAACGGTATGCTGCGGGTACCAACTACCAAGGGATAAAAAGAATAATTGGCCATAGGATTACGTATATGCAAATACCAGCCGAGACCAAATAATTCCGACATGGCTGGACATAACATAACTAGCCAGGAGCTATTGATCACCATTTTCCATTTCCATTGGTAAATTCAATGTTTAAATGTACAAATGTCCATTAGAATACTGGAGAAATCCTCTACTAGTGCAAAAGTATTTTATCCAAGAAACGACGTACGAGCATGTATGTACGTGTACCCTACCTGTATGTATTAACACGTACATAAACGCATACATGTATCGGCCTACAATGTACTTGTATGAGCTATTTTATTTATTCTCAATGGGGACCCCCAATGAGAGGCAGTGAAAATGCCTAGAGTCACGTGCAATATGGGTGTTTGACAATAGTGGGCCTCCAAGAGTTTGCAACGCACTGGCCAATCACAATGCGCAAAATTTGTCAGCCCAATGCACGTTTAGAAAGGGTCGACCCTTTCCAAACGTGCATTGGGTCGGCAAATTTTGCAAATGGCAAATACCCAAAGCCGCCACATTCTGAATTCATAAAAAAGGCTATAATTTATAAAGCTACCTTTTCCTCACTGGAGCAGAGATTTATCAACATTTTCTTCAATGTTCAGTATCAGTTGTAACTGTACTGATGACAATGGATGTAAGAGAGTGTTTTGAACTCCAGTTTCCCCATGCCAGCTTCAATGACGACTATCAGCTCACTTTTGAAGACATATGAAGGTTTACTTTCAAAAACTTTGAGACCAACAAAGTAAATCTCTTTGTGTCACCCACCCGGTACCCAGCCAATAGAAACTTCTTGGAGGTCCCTGCCAGCTCCGCATACATGCCCGTTACTATCTTTTCAGGAAATTTTGCTGAACCTTAAAATAGAAAAGAAGTCTTTCTTTACAGACCGTTGGTTCTGTGACGCCACCTGTGTCCCTGAGCAAGCCACAACAATCGCTTCTATACATGTACCTTTGCATGGTGGAAGTTACATGAGATGTAGGCTTGTGGGTACACCGTGGAGTCAATCTCTATTTGAAGAGATGATGTGGTTCTTAAAAAAACCGGAGGCGCTGGAGTGTGAAATGGGATTTGCAGGTTGTATTATCAGCTGCGCGTGCACTGGAGCATGAAGTCGTTGGATCCTATGCTTGTTCGGGGATACAGAATTGGCAGAAAAACTTGGGTTTGGGTATAGGGAACCCTTCTGCCCGGGGGTGGAGTTGTCTAAGGTGATAGTGGCGGGTGCCAGAAGTCACTAAGCATGTCACCAATGTTTTGGGGAAAGTGTTGTGCCGGATGGCTTCTCAGGTTTGTCTTGGAAGCCAGTTCTTGATAAGGACAAGGAGTTCTATGTTGTCCCACTTGATGTTGTGGTCCTGGGAGTGTGCATGGTTAACGGTAGCCGACTTGTCGTTTTCTCCTTGTCGGCCGTGAGTACGGTGTTCTTGGAGACTGGTGGGGAGGTTCCTACCAGTTTTTCTGATGTATACCTGGTCACATTCACATGGAATGTGATATACACTGGGCGACTGTTAGTTAAGTGCTTGTCCTTGTGGGTCCAACTGAACACCATAAGAGCATCCACCTTTCCAATTCCCCTCCAAGGACGCTAGGTTCTATACCTGAAATCCCCTCCTCCCCCACAGCATTAGGGTTGCCTATACCTGAGGCCCCCAACTCCGCCATCGCCACAGCATGTCTACTGTACCTGGACCCCACTTCCCACCAACTGGTATCCTACAGTCGGCCAACATCCGAGTTCATCACTCTGCACCCAACAAGCTGTAGTCTGTACTCCACACCCACAAGGACAAGCACCCATCCAACAGTCACTCTGGTGAATGGGAGAAACTGGGTAAAAGAACCGCCCCACTAGGCTCCAAGAACACTGTACTCAGGGCCGACGAGAATATGACGAGTCAGCCACCGTCAAGCATGCACACTCCTCGGACCAAAACATCAAATGAAACAAAGCAGAACTCATTGTCCCATCCAGAACTGGCTTCCAAGAAGAATCTGAGAGGCCATCGAGATTTTCCGGAACAACACCATCCCCCAAGACATCGGTTTCACGCTCAGCAACATTACACCCACAACTAGCACTCAAGATAACTCCCACCCCCGGGCAGTAGTGTCCTGTATGCCTCATGAAACCCATACCACGCACCTCATGTCGTCTCTACCCAAATCTACACAACCCCTTGTCATCAGGGTCACCTATACTCAAACCGAAGGTTTCATGCCAATTCTGCATCCTCAACCCACCAAAGTGAAATTTTTTACAATGAAAAATAACTACTGGCAATTTCAAAGCTGTGTTGGACTGTTGATATTACAAGCCTACCCACAACTGGGTCTGCTACTGGCTCATTAACAATGACAATTGGCACAATTGTCTCAAACAACACAAATTAACTGCATTTGGCCTGTGCCTCAAGCAGCATTAATTTTTTTCCAAAACTTCACAGTATAAACTTTGCTTCATGTGCACTTATGTCCTGACGGCCAACTTGACTAAAAAATAAAGGGCTGATAAGTCATTCTTTACTTGTGATTCCAAATACATGTTTCTTACTTAATAGTCCTATAAACGTTTGCATAATCAAATGACTTTTGGAGTTTCTAGTTTTTTTGTAAATTGGCCAAAACTAAATGCATATTTTTCCTAGTTGTGGATTACACCCTTTTATTAAGTGCACACACGTACGTTGCGAACTTAACTACACGGGCCTAACAGAATCAAGAAATTCTTAATTAAAATATCAGCTTGCAACAATGGGTCTGGCTGACATTTTATACAAGAAAAAAATTGTGTCTATTCGGAACCAGTTAAACCAACTCAGAACTAGATGTGTTGTCACTTCTGATGATCCCATAAGTCCAAATTAAAAGCTTAGATTTTGAAAGTAATTTTGCAGTAGACTTAGGGAAGCGACTGTACATCATCCACTCACACTGCGCCCATGCACGTATGTACATGTAATCCCCTACCATCCACTTGATGGCGAATTCCAATCAGTTAAATAGAAAATGCCCCAGAAAAAAGTCAGCTTTTGACGACCTCCCAATAACAATCTTGCCTTATTTCAACACGAGCAAATTTGATTCAAGGAGTCGGAAGAACGTGCCCAGAGCATCTACAATCCAAAATTTCCCAGACCCCACACTGTAATGGCTTTGTGCTCTGCACTGGCATTATGTGTTGCCCTGCTATAATTTAAGGCTGTGGAGAATACCGGAGAGGTTACAATTTTTTTAGCGACGGAGGCTCCTTTAGTGGGAATTGCACTTTGCTGGTTCACAAATGACTATGAAATGAACATGTTACGCTCGCATTGCTATAGCAACAAAATGAAAAGTCCCCACCAATATGGTCTTTTCAACCGATGAGGGGGTGCTACTGCTCAAGGCGGCATATGTAAAAAAAAGAAAGGAAAGTTATTGGCCTTTTTTAAAGTTCTGACAATCTGAAATGACAGTTTGGCTTTTTGTCTTACCTTCCAGTCATTGATGCTGCAATCAGGTACGGATGTATAGCAAAGCATGTCACCTGGATAAACATAAAAAGTAGGTTTCCAAATTTCAACATCTTAAGACTGTTCTAAAGATTATGATCTGGGATTTCCCTAACCCTCATCAGTTTAAACAAGATTCGGATTGCCTCCAAAGTCTCTCATATTTTGGGTAAGCATTAATACCCAGAGCCTACAGCTTACTGACTAAAAACTGCTGGGAAAATACTCAAAAACTCTTGAAATATGTGTCAATGCTGTATCAGAGGTCACAAAAACGTATGCTCGGCCTTTCTCGAACCACTTGAAGTAAAATGCTGAAGTTGTGTTCAGACCACTACCACGAGCAAGTAGGGGCACGCACCATGATCTGACCACTAGTCACTTGCTTGTTAATGATGCAAATGCAAAACAGTCATACTCAAACAAACCTAATCAATCTATTACGAAAAATCTTATCATTGCTCATATTTTGCCGCTGGCCACAACTTTTGCGTTGTTCATGGTCTAAGATGTCTCAAGCAAATATTTTCAGGTGAATGGCTCCCTCCATGCTGATAAATAAAATCGCCTATTGATGGCGGGTGATGCCACCTTGCCCCGGAACCTAGTGGTTCCACATGGTAGACTACAGTGTAGACGGTCCACATCTTCCATTGTTAGGGTGGCGTTGATTGAAGTATGGTTAAACTACAGTTGTTGCCTGAACTTGCCCCAAGAATAAGCCGGACCAACCTTGCATCTCAAAGTCCATCCACTGACAAAGGTGTTTGGCATGTGTGAAGATGGAATCTGAGGCAAAGGTCAGGACGTTGCATTTGCTCTTGGAGTCCCCCTTCTCATCGAACCTGATGCTCCAAAGTAAATGGCTCTGCATATCATCACCCGACCCTGCAAAGTGTGCCACAGGATTTTCAGTCAATGACTACCCAATGTTTCAGAGAAAAACAGCCCAAACCTACATGTACGGTACATGCCAATGATATGAGTGCTAAATGCACTGATCTAACGAGGTGAGACTGCACATATCTTTCTCAACATTGAGCCTTCTGCATTACACATGTGCATGGTTACTTTAGACACCACTTATGAAAACAAAATCATTCAATTCAGTTAAAGAGTGCATTAATCCAGTTTTCCATGGGTTCCCTTCGGTCCAGTGCCCACCTCTTCCTCTGTGTGGTTCTAAATTTGGCAAATGACTGGTGCCATGCTGGCTTCACCCATAAAGGTACAGGCACCCATGCAAAGAGATGGGAACCGGCAGTTCTGATTCACCGTGGCTGATAATGGTGTTGCAAACAACCTGAATAGGAAAAAATAAATGGAGTCTGCTAAAATAAGTAATGCCTTCATAGTCGTGTAATGTTGTGGCATTTTTTACATCCATACACTCTTCAGTATTGTAGCCAACACCCCTTGAGACCATCACATGACTCAAACAGACTAAAATGAGACCTCCATTCTGAATTCAAAGTCCAAAACAATTAAAATAAGACGTAACAAAACTGCAACTGGTGCAACAAAAGCATTCCTTTGTCACTGTACGACACTATTTGTGTTGACTGGTTTTCTAATGGTCTTGATGACCACAATGCTTTCTCAGTTGTTGGTTAATTGGTTTAAGGAACACAATAACTGTTGACAAGTATATTCATAGTAACAGGTGTACCGGATTCTGCCACTCGAGTATACTCATCGAAAATGACAAGTTTTTGTATTGTAAATTGAATACACTAGCATCACCGTTAACCAAGACATGTTGCAGAGACTCAACGGGTGTTTTACGCGTCTGCTTTGCTTTGCTCATAACACAGACTGGACTGCTAGAGTCCATAACACCCAATTATATGGTGGGGGCTTAGTTCCATCAGTTAGCCATATTATTGCCAAGAGAACACTGAGCAGCCGGTGTCAGACCTCATTCTGAGGGAACCAAATCCAAATTCTGCAAAGTTGTCCTACAGGTGTATGTTAAGACATTTTGCAACTATACGGGTGCAACGAGGCAAGAGTTGTGGGGTCTCATGTCAAATCGAGAGCAACAGCAGTGCATCTTGGGCATGTACATGTATGACTGGAAGTTATTTTTCTTTTCGTTATCACACGACAGGTGTTGGCATTCTTTAGAGCGCAAAGGTTACTATTATGTAATGCATTCCTCTATAGCCTATTTAGGTGAAGTGTTATCCATTTGTAATTCATTCTCGGTTGAATAGCTTAACCTCGCAGCACCACATTGGTACGTCTGTTAAGCTGCGCATCATGAACGTCAAGCAAGCTTCAAACCAGGACATTAGTAGCGATTCAAACGCTGTCTTCCTCTATTGACTGTAAAGTTAAATCAGCTCTGAAGAAACATCACATGCCTGCAGACATTTCCTACAAATTTAAAAGCAAGGGCAACAAAGACCAATTCTGGCACACAGAGAAGAAACCGACATTCATCGATTCAGCGCTGGCCTCACTCGGCATAGGGGACATTGACTTGGCCAAGAAATCCCTTGACCAAATTCTCGAAGCAGGTAAGGATACACGAAGCTCATCAAGTTGGCCGACCGTCCCGCCCAAGGCTGGGCCATGGTTAGAGAATATGTCACCGAGGATCTCGCAAAGGATTCAGACGACGAGAAGAGGCTTAGAAAAGCAGAGAAATCCACAGCCAGTAAGAAGACCAATGCCTCCAAAAAGGCCAAGTCTAAGATTCCCAGCACAGCTGTTCGGCCTTACGTTCCGGTTTCTCATCCTTTCGTCAATGCCTATCGACCGGAATTTTGCACGTTTGCAGTGGGACATCACAGGGCACATTAGAACTAACTGCCCATCTCTGCAGGCCCTCCGACAACCCAGAAGAGCACCAGTTCCAGCCAGCGGAACGCCTGACACAGTGGGACACTAGAGATTGGGAAATTTCCGAACCAGATGGCAGTCAACAAGCTCCTAAGGGAGTCAAAGGTAAATTAAAACCATGCATCTCATTTGGGAGAGAATGTCTTCATACTAGCCAACTTATACTAGGCATCATAGTTTCTGGTTACAAGACACCTTTCTATTTGCAACCTCCACCGCTTTATCTCGAAAATAATCATTCCAGTTTAAATAACCTTTCTTTGTTGAGACAGCCACTGCTGCGCTGATTCAGAAAAGACGTATTGTAGAAACAAACTTGCCTCCTTATTGTTGCATTCCTTTCATAGATGCAGAAGGCAAGAAGTTGTGACTGGTTTGGCATTTGCGACATCCAAATAACTACATTCGGAAAATAAAATTTAAGTATGAGGATTTATACTCATACTTTGCAGAATTAGAGTTTTGGCAGAGCAGCATTAACAAGCTCATCAACAGCTTCTGAATACAATTTGGGCTTACCCCGTCCCTGACAGCTTCCATGGAACAAGAACAAGTTCGATGATAGCATGAGCAAATTCAGAGATTTTGACAATTGGTCAATCGACAACAAAGCATTTAGCTTTATCCACAAGTTGTAGGGTCAATATTCTATTGATTTTTTGGCATCTCCACTTAACGCTAAGCTCAAGCGTTTTAACGCACAATTTTGAAGTGCGTTGCCAACGAAGTATCAGGCACACTTGTAGTCCTACACTGGCCAACGGCCGCTTTCTAGCTTTTACGTTGTCCAGACAGTATAAGCTTGATACTAGAATCACAGATTGGCGGCTGAAACTTGCCTAATTTAACCCACCTTCTTTGGGATCTCAGTCAGTTTTTCAGCAAACTCCATCTTTTTCCTGGTTATTTTTGAAATTTGATTTTTGCGAGTTCAAATTCCCATGAACACGACCAAAAACAAAAGAAATTTAAGACAAACGTTTACGGAGGAGTCTGCTGGTAGACAAGTAGTATGTTTATGTACTTTGGCTTTTACAGCTAGGGCTGAATTGTAGCCCATAGATCAGTTGTCCATAACCGTTCATGAGCTAGTGCATGCATTTAGATGGAAGAGTGCTTAGGCACATTTTTCCTTTCTTTAGCGTTCTTGTAAATACTGTATGTGCGAGGAAGTTAGCTCATGCAGCCTCACCAATCGTGCTCAAATTATATCTATCTTTACTTTTGTTTTCATCAAGATTTTATATTTGTTTTGCACATGATGAAGAAAAGAAAAGTATTTTCTTCCGGAAGTATGGAGGAAGAGAGGTTTTTTTTTTATCACATGACAGGTGTTAGCGCTCTTTAGAGAACCAAGGTTACTATTACAAAACGCATTTCTCCAAAAAAAAAACCTCCAAAAAAGCACTGTTTCATCAGTGCAATTTTCAGCCTTTTCTTCTAAATGTCGCTTGCTTGGTTCGAAAGAGCATGACTTTCACCCATAGTCCTGGTCGCAGTCCACATTTCCTCCACAGGTTGGGGGTTTTTCGTGGCCACCGAGAGAAAACCATACAGATGATGGGTACCAAGGTGGCACTGCAAATCATCAGCCCCGAAATTCACAGGCGGCACTAGTACGAGGTTACGCAATCGAACAGTCCAATTCATTTTTTCTTACATGCGACTGTTCTGGCATCAAATAGTAGAATCGTTTCAGAATGTTTGCAATTTTTGCAGCTTTAGTAGTGTGCTACGACAGAGACCACCCTCTCACTGGGGTTCCTACCCTATCTCAAAATTCCCAATTCTGCGAAGACCCCCAACACCTTCGGCTGCACCAAAAAAGATTTCAAAACCTCACACAGTTCCGAAAACTCGGGGATGCCCTACTTCTTGACCGAAATCTGAAAACTCAGGAAAACCCCCACTTACTCAGCCGAAATCCGAAAACTCGGGGAAGCCCCCACTTACTCGGCCGAAATCCAAAAACTTGGGGAAGCCCCCGTCCTAGACCATATTCCAAATTCTCAGGAAAACCCCCAACCCCTTTGGCCTCAACAAAAAAATATTTCAAAACCTCACAAAGTTCCAAAAACCCGGGGACACCCCAAAAACTTGGGAAAAGCGCCACAAAAAAATTAAGCATTTCTACCTGTTCTCAGCCGACAGAAAAAATTTGAAAAAAATTCCCAGGCAACACTAACTGCCAAACATGCCACCAACCATCACAACCAATTTCGAGTACACAAAACTAGTTTCCACTTACGCCGCTTGGCTAGCCCTCCATGCAAAAACGGTGAAACCAAACCTAATACAGCAAGCGAAACAAGACGTTCAGTGCCAAAGGCATCACATCTGCTTGGTGCGGAAGACGAAGCACGGCGTTGAAATTTATTACCCGCATCAGATATTTCTGCCTCCGACATGCAGCCTGGCTCCAAGACGGTGAGCGAAAAATATGAAAAAACGTTTGCCTATTGTAAAGATCTATCAGCAAAAATATGACGCGCATTTGATCATGCAGGGTGCACGCGTATATAGCGGAAGTCAAATAAATGCCATTGCCAAAAACTCTGAGAATTACATTTTGTTTTCTTTTGACCAGCTTCGCTTCACAGACTCATTTAATTTATAAATATTTTATATTTTTAGTTTGTTGAAGCAGCAGACCATAAGCGAAGAAGAATATGCAAAAGCCCAAAATGTATGGAAAACTTTTGGATGCAAAATCTTGGGAGACTACCACAATCTATACGTCAAAACAGTCCTATTGCTGTTGGCCTGTGTGTTTGAAACTTTTCGAAAAGAATGCAAAAAACATTATGGACTTGACCCTGCCAACTACTACATGGTGCCTGGTCTATCATGGGACGCACTGCCGAAGCATTCTGGCGTTAACTCGAGTTGCTGACGGACACTGGTAAACACCTGTTTTTTGAACATGCCAAACGTGGAGGCATCTCGAGCGTAGGTGGCAAATGTTACGCAAAGGCAAACAACCCCAGTTTTTAACATATCGCATATCATGTATCTCGATGCGAAAAACTTGTATGGTTAGGCTATGAGCCAATACTTGCCCGTCGGAAAATTTAAATGGGTCAAGGCGCTTGACGGGTTTACCACCGAGATTTATTTTAAAGCCTTTTTCCAGTTCAACTACATGCTACATGGTTGAAGTGACCTTGGATTATCCACAGCACTTGCACGATCTACATAACGACTTTCCGTTGGCACCAGAGAACGTCTCGGTACTGACCCAATGGCTGTCTGACTACAAAAGAAACTTGATATGCAACGGTGAAAGTCGTACTGGTATCTCTACAGACAAACTTGTCGCCACTTTAGGTACAAAACTCAAATACGTCGTCCACTATCGTACGTTGCAAACTTATTTAGAACTGGGCTTGCAACTGAAAACAGTACACCAACGTCTTTCAAACAATCGCCTTGGATGCAAAGCTGCATCGATTACAA